CACACAGCCGAGCCCGTGCGGCTGGAGATTCGGGGCGTGTGGCCCACAGGTTCGAGCACACGGTGGGGCCAGTGGTCAGAGCAGACCCAGCTCCAGCACCACCGGCAAGGCCACGGGACTGGTCTGGGCCTCAGTCTCCTCGCCTTGAAAATGGGTGTGGCCGCCTTTTCCCAGCTGAGCTATCCAGGGTGAGCGGCGCTGACCCAGCAGCTGGGGGGCCGCTGGGGGTCCGGGGTGCTGGGCGCTGCTCCACGCCCCTTGCTGGCCTCCGTGTTTCATGGGTTGCAGATGAGGTTTGCTGGGGATACTGGCTTGTTAACGCCCCACGAATGACCCTCAATCAGGGTGTGGGTGGGTAGGTGCCCTCCCCGGGGTGGGTAGGGTAACAATTCTGGGGTGTGCCCTACAGTCCCCGGGGCCAGAGCCTTCTCTGCTCCCCACTGTGCTTCCAGGAGCAGCTGCCTGCAGGTCTGCTTTAAGGGGGGGCTGCTGGGTTATCCCCCAAACCCACAGGAGAGGCGAGACCCAGACCCACTCAGGAAGTGTGACGCTGGGGGGGGTTGGGGGGCTGCCTGGAGGAGGCGTCCTTTGAGCACAGTCTGGGAACAGCTGAGGTGGGGGAAGTCAGAGTGGGGCTCTGTGCTCCTGAGGTTCCCCCACTGTACCCCGCAACCCCGAGAGCTGGTGAGCCAGTAGGCCCTTCGCCCCAGCCCCTGGACGGCCCAGCTGAGCGAGACCTCGGTGGACAGAGGGGCAGCGGCGCCCCAGCCGATGGCTGACGGCTTCTGGGCCGGCGACTCTGAACTTCCTTATTCGTGCAGAATCAATGTCGTGTCATTAGCGCTTGGAAACGCTCATGTGGGTTAAACATTAAGCGGTGTGTGCTGGGAAACGCCGGCTCCGGCGCCCGGCCCGGGCTGACGGTCAAGGCCATGGCCCTGGGTCTGGGCTTTAGAGTTCTCAACAGACAGGCTTTCTAAGTGACATCACTGACAGGTGATAACCCAGAGCCCCACCCCCAGGGTCTCATGGCCCCAGGGATCGGCCAGTCCCTCCAAGAAACGCCCACACGCCCCCAGGGGGCTGGGAACCTC